AACTGAAAACATTTTTTATTCACATTAGCATCATTATCGTTATTATTTGAACACAGCCAATTAATACCATTAATATATTGATTCAGAATTTGAATATTCGGAAAAAAAAAGGGAAATTTTTTTTGTGCTATAGTATTGAAAAATTTGTGTATTTTTTTTTTTTTTTTCATTGTATAAGGAATGTTGTTGGTTAATGTGATATGGTTGAGGAACCAACAAAAAAAAGAATTTTCTCGTTTTTCTAGGCAATAATAACATCGTGCATGGATAATGCTCGATCCGATATTGCGATGAGGATAATTACGCGTATGACGCATAAACGAAATGATTTCATCTCATTTTGTGAAGCTTTACCGCATGATGAATTTGTGGCATTCCGTGATTCGGTTAAGCAATTTTTGACCGATGTAGTCAAATATATACATTCACCTAGCAAGGTAACTAGTATTATCACTAGAATAAAACAATATTACCATTTCAAAAGAAAAAAAAAATTCTTCAAACAACAAACTAACGAAAAGAAAAAAAAAAACTAAAGAATAGTTGTGTTTCTATTGCAAAAACTTTAAATCCTAAGCAAAAAATTGAACAGTCATCATTCAGCTATAAATTTATCAGCAATTTTTATTGCTTTCCTTATTTTTTTTTTTACTCTCTTTTCTTCGTCCTCTTCCTCTTCATCTTCATCTTTTTATTTTTTTCTAACTAAATTAATAGCTAACTGTTTAGTGGGATAAATTCGTACAGATATGTTCATATTTTCAAACAGTTAGGTATAGCAGCTATAACAGAAATTTTATTTAATACTATCAATCAACTAAACAATCAACATTGAATAATACCAATAATTCATTTCATAATATATTGAAAAATTTGAACTTTTTTTTTTTTGCTTAAGATTAGTGAAATATCTGTACAGTTTGGTATTAATCAAGCAGCTCGTCGTATATGTGGTTTCAAAGCCGACTATTTTGCTGCAATGGCCGATGCAATCATAACAGAATGTGTTTTTCTTGATGGTGCTGTACATCCAGTTAGTTTTTATTCCTCCAATTCAATTCCATGTAAACATATCAAATACATATGTTTAGATTTGAAAATTTTTCCTCCCAGCCATTTCCTTTCTGTATTTTTTTTT